AATTTATTAAAGACATTTTTATTTTTTATTTTCCACAAAAGGATATATATATATATATATAATTCAGCTCTCGATTCCTCAATCCAAGTCACTATCCATTCGTCTACCATCTACATATATATATATATATATATATATATATATATATATATATATATATATATATATATATATATATATATATATATATATATATATATATATATATATATATATATATATATATATATATATATATATATATATATATATATATATATATATATATATATAAATAAAAATAAAAGCACAGTGACGAATGGATGGTGAATGAAAGTTCAGAATTCAGTCAAATCCATTACATTCACGTGCTAATACCCTTGGGAAAGGTGTGAATCCTCTTCTTCTCCCTCCAGCTATTCGGCTCTTCAAAACCCTTCGGCACAAAACCTTCATCACTATAATCAAATCTCATGTGCTGGCGGCGGGCTGTCAGTTTCCTAGAAAAAATACATATGTTATTATTTTATTTTGTTTTGTTCTTATTGAAAAAAAACGGTATTGAACTGGATCTAACTAACGCTTGTGCCATGTGTCCTTGAGCTAAGGCAATGGAGAACTTGAGATGGGAATTGACAGGAGATAACTGATAACTGACATCCATTAAATATGGCACGTGTAACTAGAACAGTCTACCCGAGTGAACGAAATAAAGGGTTTAGTTTGACATTCCAACCACCTGAATAAGGCCGGAGCGTACAACGGCCGAAACGTTGTAATAACCATGGCAACAAATATAAGGACAATAGTCCAAATAATGTAAATAGTGTACATAATACCTCATCTCAGAAATATTGACAGTTTATGAATCTATTTATGAACATGACTCGAGTTTTTAAGTTAATGTTTTAGTTTTGTCACTTGCAGTGTTGAGCGAAATTAAGCTTAGCCCACCCTATGCTATGTTCAACTTCGTTATCCTCTTAAAAAAAGAATATAATAATGAAGCTCATTTGCAATAGTATTCATAGCCTAAACTGAATCATAAGAGATGTGCGTTCAAATACCACAGGAATTTTGTTTTAATATGCACGAATTGCTTAACTGTCGTAGAATAGCAAACTGGGAGTTGCTATAAAAGTTACAGAAATAAAATGGAAGGAGTATGAATAAAGAATCATTTAATAATTTTGCTTGTTTCTCCCTTTGTTAGTTCCTTCGTTTGCACGACCCTTACGCCCTGCCAATACCTCATAAATAATGGGTTATTCCGTTTTGACCGCGTGGAAAGACAAAAGACATATCAGAGACGCTATTTGCTTTCAGCGAAAAAAATAAAGAAAGAAAAGTTAGAAGTGTTTAACGTCTCCTGTTAATACCTCATAAATAATGGACTATGTTTTGATCGCGTAGTGATTTTCCAAGCGTAACTTAGATGTGGCTCGGTTTTGATCGCGTATGAAGACAAAAGATATCAAAGACGCTACTTAATTTCAGTGAGAAAATGAAAGAAAGGATGGAAGATCGTTTAACAGCTGTTTCCGTCAAATGGAAAAACGAATCTTTTCATTTGTACCTCTTTATTTCTTAAAATAACGACCACAATTCATATTTATGATTGTTATTGATATATTTTGCTAAAGTTGTAAAGCTTAAATATTTAACGATGCAATAGGGGAACTTCTACGATTTTTTTCTTTTCGTAGGACTCGACATAAGCTTATTTAATTAGTAACTTAAGAATTAAGATTCATCAGAATATTAGGAAAGCCATAAAACTTTCATGGCTCTTTCTAGTATGCAATAATTGATTAACGATCGGAGTGTAGCAAACTGGGAATTGCTATAGAAAGTTGAAGAAGTAAAATGAAAGGGATTCGAATAAAGAATTAATATTTATAACTGGTAACATTTTATTTAGTTCATAAGACTGTATTTATTTGTCACTTCGTATTTAATTTTCCGCCTTGTCGAAACAAAATGTATTTCAGCATGTCTACATAAAATTATTTGGTTTAATATATGTACGGACGTATTTATATAATTTCAATTTCTATGATGTCCTCTCTATATTGCAATTATATGTAAGTATCGACTTTTATTTCCTTTTCATTAGCTATAAGAAATGAAGTTCTTCCATTTTTTTTTTAGTACGCGGGTGCAATTTAAATATATTCACCCCTAATCTATTATCCAGGTCTCCTTCTCTTATACATCTCAATTTACATAAGGTAGCATTTATAGAAAATACAAACTTTATTGCCACATAATTATGTACAATAATGGATCATATGCAATATAGGTGAATAATTCTATGACAAAAATTCAAAATAAATAAAATTTATCTGAATACAAATTAGATACACGTCATAATAGATCATTTCATCTTGAATAAATCAACAATGTTTTGCCGCAATCTTTGACATCAACATGAGATTTTTTCCTGTTAAAAACTTGAATAATTTCAACTCATTTAACATTTTGGATAGAAAATAGTGAATATTATACAGGGTTGTTTTTTTTTTCAAGACTCCTTTGCATGATAAAAAAATCACAGATTTGGAAGAGAAAAGACCCTAGAATAACGTCAGAATTCGCTCTTTAATATCCAGTTGTACTTAGTTTAATTTGTAACGTATATAAATGTTGGTAGGAAAAACATCTGTTGATATCTGGGTATGTGTTGTGTCGGAAACCTACCACCCCTCTTGAAGATGAACTTGTCTGCAAACAAAGACTTTAAATTGTGGCATGTCAAAAGACAGAAGTTCTTAGCTGAGCTAGTTATTGACTACTCAGGCGATTTCTGTACCTTTTTACCAACCTATTAAAACCCTTTTTTTTGTTACGTGTTATTTGGCGTTTGTCTCTACTAACCACAAACCAACATCATAACAGTATGACGATAATCTACACCCTCAAGGCCTCTGATCAAAAGGTTTTGAGAATCTTGGAACCATATATTAATTACTGTTGTTTCCATGGGGTGGTAGTAACTGTTAGGGTCCCAGCTATGGGCAAATAGTTAACCCCCAAATTGGAGTCAAAACACTATGAAGGTGTAAACATTGGTTTTAATATCAGCAATACATTTTTGTAAAAGATTATTACCAGCAATGAGCTTTTGAAGAAAAAAATATTACCAGCAATACATTTAAAAAATATTACCAGCAATACATTTAAAAAAATATTACCAGCAATACATTTAAAAAAATATTACCAGCAATATATTTAAAAAAAATATTACCAACAATACATTCTGGAAAAAAATATTACCAGCAATACATTCTGGAAAAAAAATATTCACAGCAATACATTAAAATAATATTGCCAGCAATACATTTTTGAAAAAAATATTACCAACAATATATTATTGAAAAAAATATTACAGGCACATTTTTGGAAAAATATTACCAGCAATACATTAAAAAAATATTACCAGCAATAATTTTCGAAACATAAATATTGCCAGCAATACATTTTTGAAAAAAATATTACCAACAATACATTTTTTAAAAAAAAATATTACCAGCAATAGATTTCCGGGAAAAAATATTAGCAGCAATACATTTCTGAGAAAAAATATTACCAGTTATACATTTTTGAAAGAAAACATTGCCAGCAATACATTTTTGAAGAAAGGATATTATCGACAATGAAAGTCTTGTCGGCATTAAATAACCCATTGAGATGTTGATATGCCGTAAATCAAACCAAACAAAACCAAATTAACTGTTAATAAGATAGTATATTTCTGTGTATATGTCTGTGTATGTATGAAGAGGGGGAAGAGGATAAAAATACATATATTTCTGCTACGATGTCCTTTTCAGTGTAATAATTTTAAAATAATAGTTGGAACATGAGTAAAGTAAAACGTATTAAAGTTTAAATTGTGGGTGGGGAGTCTTAAGGTCAGGTCGCAATTACTTTTATGGTTAAGTCATTATAACAGTGGGCTTCTATACCAAAGGTTTCAAGTAACATCTTTTACTCGAGAAATAATTTACGTTGCTACTGACTGACCAATGAGAAGGGACATTAGGATTAGCTTTCTTGATTGCCTACTTCAAACTTTCTACATCAATCGGACATGCATGGGCGTGTGTCTCCGGGGTATCGACGGGGATCGAGTGACAACAAGTCTACTCACTACTATGACCGTCATTGTATTTCGATTGTTTTAGCGGTTCTGTTGCCTGGTTAGTGTCGATTTTTCGCTAGATTCTTTGCCAGATTTCTTTTTAGCAGTTCTGTTGCCTAAATAGTGTCGATTTTTCACCAGATTTATATTTAGCAATAGATATAAATAGGTATTGTTGGTAACTTTACTATAAATATACATTGTTGTATTTTACACTTTCATAATGTTTTGTTTTTGTTTGGTGGGTTCACTGTTTGCCGATGGCTAGGACCCTAACAGGTGCTACCACCTCGGATCAGAGTGAATCTGGGAACAACAGCAAGATGTTTAGTTTTCATTATTAGATGCCTTGCAATTCCGATGGGTTCAGGCAGTCTCAGCAGCGGAACATTCGGTGAGTATCAAATTCATTTAATAGTTTATCAGACGAGTTTGCTAATTATGATGCAATGAAAGTCTTTCTTAGATAATAATGGTTTTAGTAATTAAAAAAAAACTTACTAATTAACCTATAGCTGGAGGGAAAAGAGGTGGATTCCTACTTTTCAGAAGGGTACTCGAGCATACGAATATTACGAACCCAATTAACAATTCCTAGTCATTATCTGTTATATCAACCGCACATCTAAGCTCGACGGCACCTGTTATTCCTGTACGGTCACCCATCAAGGTACTGACCAAACTCGACATTGCTTAACCGCAGTGACTGTACAACAACCCAGTTTTTCAACGTGATGTAGTCGAGAAGCAGTGAATTCATACGTTTTCCCGAAGTTATTTGCGCGTAAGTGAATATAACAAACCCGACTGGAATTGGAACTCCGTTCCCCGATTAACAATTCCGAGTCATTATCGATTACACCACCGGTACATCCAGGCTTACAATACCTGGTATTCTCACATGGTCACCCATCTAGGCACTGACCAGACTCGTCGTTGTTTAACTCCGGTGATCATACAGGAACCAATGTTTCAACATGATATGGCCGTAAGCACCTGAAAATGTTGGAGAGCACAACGGTCGAAACATTTTGAAAACAACAAGATGAAGACAGGCACTATTTCACATACATTTATTAAAATTCTGAATTACTGTAATCCTACCGCATGGTTGTGTAACGAGAGTATGTATACAAAATATTGGTATCTGTTTATTATATCCTTCAGGACGTAGGCGATCATGGCCCTCCACGGACTCCTTTTCTTTATTGTCATGATTTCTCGGGAAAGATAGTGGAGTGTTTCACGTTATTTTCTCTGATGTTTGAAATTCAGAATCATCATTCTCTTAGAATAACTACGATATGAATACGATATGATAGAATACGATATGAAAAGTGTGAGGCAACTTGTTACTTCAGGACAGAAGAAAGTTATAAAGGTTAGAGAATAAAGATAATCTTGATTAATTTGAAAAAATGATCCTAAAATAATATATATATATATATATATATATATATATATATATATATATATATATATATATATATTGTTATGGTCAGGTTAGGACCAAGGAAGAACAACACGAACACAACACGGGTTCGTCTCTGCTCAGAAAGGCAGAGAGTTCGACCGTCAAGCCAAGAAGCTCGGCTTGATTTGTCCCTCTCTCTTGAGAGGCGTATACATAGTGTTAGGATTAGGAAGAGTTCATTCTGTAGTTATAGGTAAGGACCCATGACATATATATATATATATATATATATATATATATATATTAACTTTATTTCAATCCTTCACGAACTTCAGATCCTTAGCTATGCCTAATTAATGATGAACATGTCATTTTCGTTTATGATCAAATTCATCATAATTCTTCTGTTAAGCTTGGAGAGTAATTATACATTTTTATTGCTAAAAAGTTGGGCTCAAAATGTTATAGAAACCTCAGAAAATTCCAGTAAGATATCTTTAATCATTTCTAAGATACAACGGTTCAAAGCTTAATCTAACAAATTGACAATATCCTTTCACACGATTTGGAAAATTGTGCTGCCGCACTCGATAGATATATATGTTTCTTTATTTATGTATACCTGTGTGTGGTTTGTATATTGCGTTTATTATGTATAGTAGAGTGAACTATTTTACGATTTCACGTTATTTCCTCTAATGTTTCGAATTCAGAATCATCCTTCTCTTAGAATAACTGCGATCTAAGACAAGAAAGCCTAGCCCACCCTCTTTTTCAACCCTTAGCTCGGTAAAGAATTAATGAATTCAAGCATTTCCAAATGCGAAAATTACCATTTGGCACGTTGGCCATCGTTTGGCATGTTGATGAAAGTTTGGCGTGTTGATAAGTCGAAAAAAAAACAGAATAAACAAATAAATCATGCAATCTGTTATATTGTACCTATAAACACTTATGAGAATGTCGCAATCCTCATAAATACAAGTGGGCGTAATATGCTGTCTAACCCGCCAGCATGAGCTTTCAGCGTGGGAAGCTCTTGCCGTGTCGAACTCACTGCCTTTGGTCAGAGAGGAACGCGGACGAGGCTATGTAGTCCAACACTAGCAGTGGTTTACCTCATTCACGCCGCTGGCGAGTATTGTATTTTGTTGATGTTATAAAGATTACCATTTCATTTCCAAAGTCTATTTTGGTTATTCCTCATTCAGTAACCTTTTCTAGGTTACAACAGTGTGTATATATATATAAATATAAATATATATATATATATATATATATTGTTTATACGTTATTTTTGTAGATATAACTAAAGTGTAAGTAAATGCGTTGTTTATAATAAACAGTATTAACAATATTTACCGGTTTGAATATCTGAGAAATCTCAAAGAAAATATATGTCTTCCGACAGGAATCGAACATGTATCCTACACGGAACCGTCATATAGCCTAACATGCTACACCATTTAGCTACAGAGGAAGCGTCTGGTTAGCAAGGTTAAATTACTCTTTTTAAATTACAAACTTCCCATGATTTCTCACGGACGCTAATATCCGCTCGAACCGTATCTTAACGAAACAAATGACATAATATATTTCGAAATGGACAAAGTACGAAAATTATTGTAATACATTTTTTGTTTATATGTTATTTTTATAGATATAACTATGTAAGTAAATGCGTTTTTTTTTATAATAAACAGTATTAACAACATTTACCGGCCTGAATGTCCGAGAAACATGCTTAACCAAGGGATTAGTGTTTACATTTTCATTTACGACTTTCTTTGTGCATACTTATTTATTTTTAATTAAGGCGTAGAAAATGAACATATTTAAAATATGGAGATTTTTGTTTGTTTAACGGTATATCAACAACTTATCTCGAAATCTTTCTTGGAAGCTTAACTTATGTGTTTCTTGGAAGCCTAAGTGATGTGTTTCTTTTTACAAAAATCTATTGCTGGTATTTTTTTTAAATCTATACTTTCAGTTTATATTTTTTTTACTTCAGCTTGGGCGTTCACTATTTACCCAAAGCTGGGACCCTAATAGGTGCTACCACCTGTGTCAGGTGGACTTGGAAACAACAGCAATTAAGAGGTAGTTCCTTGCTCCTGAAAACCTCCGTTCAAAGATAGGTCTTGCGATTGGATGTAGTTTATCGTCATAACCAGGACAAAAATATAGATTTAAAACCTAGAGAAAAAGTAGAAACTGCCATTTAATACAGGAAAAAACTATTGGGAGCGAACCGGTTTCGCTCCTCTCTTATCGGTCGAAGTCAACACTAATACACTGCATTAGTAATATACACCAATACACTGTATTCGTAATATACTAACACCGAATATGTATAACCCGATCATATTAAGTCCTAGCAGTCACTCCTTTTGCTTACACGGTAAATGAAATTTGTCTCAAGTACTTTGACATTAAGTTCTGAGTGCGATTTGCACAAAGCAGAGAAAAGGTTCTCCTGGTACGCCGCGACACACTGCCTATTTGTTTTTATCAGGTGGTTGGAGTAATGGTTAACGGCTTGGATTGAGGAAACGGAGAACCGAGTTCGAATTTCACTCGAATCCATTACATTACGTGCCAGTAACCGTGGGAATTAATCCTCTTCTTCTTCCCATGGGTAAATAGCAAATATAGCCTTGTATGGCAACTGGTTTACCGCAGAAAGAAATGGAAACCTACTGCGGAAAAAAACTGCTTCGTTTTCAACCAGTCTAGATTAAGAGTTGCATGTTGGCACGGTGGAGTAATGAATAGCGGCTTGTATTAAGGAATTGGAGAGCCGAATTCGAATACCAGTCGAAACCATTTCATTCACTTACGTGCTAATACACTTGGGAAAAATATGAATCCTCTTCTTCTCCTCCCATCTATGGGTAAATAGCAGAACAGACCAGATTCTGGTCTACCGCAAAAAGAAATGGCAACCTACTGCGGGAAAAAATCGAAAGATACATGATCGTCTAAGCGTGTATCACGCATGGTACCTGACTGACTGACTGAATACAATAGCAGAACTGGATACAACAGACTTATGCAAATTATCACTCAGATAACCTCTCCTAATAAATGGCGGAACATGTTAAAGAATTCTACTTCCCGAATGTTATTTTTGCGCGCGCAGATATTTCATAATCCAGTGTCGCGCGTATAAAACATGAATGCAATTAGTTTTTTGATAGTCGTTAGCAAGATTCGTTTGTTTGATTTTGTTTAATAGCATCAAACTCTATGGATTATTTAATATCAAATTCTAAATAATTTGAACACAATTTTATGACTTTAACTAAAGATATTTTGAAAGCAGTTGTATATCTTCAACTATTACAGGTCATTTTGCTTTTAAAAATGTATTATTGGTCATTTTACAATATGTATTGTTGGACTTTTTAATTTGGGTTGGTGCATAATTATCAGGCGTTTTTTAAACAATTTTTATTATGCAAAAAGAAACATATCAATTCAACAATAACATTTTTAAATGATTATTCCGGAACGTATGATTACTATAAACTGAAAATAAAATTATATTTTTATTGAAAAAAAGTAAACAAAACAGCCAATTTTTACTAACAAATAACTCGCCTACAAAAACGCCTGATAATTAGGCACCAACCCAATATAAAAATGTAGCGCCGGTATTCATACTATTAAAATGTATTTTGATAATTTCATAGTATTTTCGTTCGGAGGTTCACTATTTGCCCATAGCTGGGACCCTAAAAAGATGGGCCTGGGAACAACAGCAATTAAGAGGCGGTTCCACGCTCCTCAAAACCTTCAATATCCCGATTAAAGGCCTTGCTGCCGGATGTAGTTTATTGTCGTTAGCAAGAGAAACAGATCAAGTTTCAAGCTGTGGATGATATTCGCCTGGGGAGACACTACCGGTGTTTCATACCGTTGGGAAATGTCTGCAAACAACGCCACATGCTGACCCAAGCCTTGTGAATTAAATTGGGGTGACGAAACTGTTAGAAAGTCAACAGTCGTACAAGCTCAAAGTCACAAGTTAGCATGAATGAGTGTTTCAGCGAACTAACCTTGTCCAAAAAATATTGATCATACCAGATTATACGCTCTCTCTCTTAAAAGATTATACCAGAGGTCTGCTCAGAATAATTTAAAATATCGCACATTGACTGCTCGTGCTAATACTGCTCGATGTACAATAATTTATATTAATAATAGATATATATTTATCATTCAGAATACAATCGTTAGGTTTTGACGATTGCATTGTGCATGAAACGTATATAAACCGGGTGTAACAACAAAATTGTCCAAATGGTGTGACAACATAATTATCCGTCCCACAAAATGATTAATATCTAAAAAGACCACTAAACTAATTGAGTTTCTTTTTTCCAGGTTTTCAGATAAGACGCTTAGCCATCTTGACACCAATTGTCGTAAGAATTACTGAAAAACCCTTCGAGTTACTCAGCTGAAGAGAACAGATTAAAATCATTTTGCACAGCCCCACCGTCTTCCCAACTGAGCAAATAGTGAAAGGAAAAAAAGGCTTTCAGTAATAGTACCAACATTCATACTCTG